TTATGTCTAAAGTGACCTGTGGATTCTTATTTTTTTTTTACAGTATAATCCTGTATACAGTGGTACCTCAGGTTAAGAACTTAATTCATTCTGGAGGTCCGTTCTTAACCTGAAAGTGTTCTTAACCTGAGGTACCACTTTAGCTAATGGGGCCTCCCGCTGCCTCTGCCGTGCAAATTCTGTTCTCGTCCTGAAGCAAAGTTCTTAACCTGAGGTACTATTTCTGGGTTAGCGAAGTCTGTAACCTGAAGCGTCTGTAACCCAAGGTACCGCTGTACAGTATATATACTCAGAAGTAAGTCCCATTGAGTTCAATTGAGCTTACTCTCAAGTAAGTAGATAAATGACAACACTTAACTATGATTACTATTTTCATCACACTTAAAGAGGGTATATTTTTAACAAGCAAATACAAGGAATACATGAGTGACTGAAAACAAAGAGCATGATCCAAATTCCATCAGTGTGTGAAGGTGTTAGCCTTTCTCCCATTAAACTCCTGAGGCGCACAATTTGGAATTCCTCTCAGAGCTCAAAGTTGTAGTCCTGAAACTGTACATGCTGCAACCTAAAATAGTTTATACTGCCTTTGATTTGACAAATGTATATTTAAATACAAAAGATGCAGGAACATTCAAGGATGACTTCAAGCTCTTGCGGTCCAAGGAGTAGTTGGTAGACTTACGAAATAATATTCACTACATTCATTCTCTCAACTTTTAGACCCAGAACATTGTACAATGGTCCTATGTAGCATGGATTAAATTATTGTTCTCCTAACCATGGCCTTTTTTTCTCCCTTTCTTGTTCAAAGTACTTATTCTGGAGTAACCCCTATTTATTCATCACCCCCAACCACATCAAAGCTCATTCTTTATACAACAGGGCTCACTTCAAATCCAGTTGAAAAATCTGGAAAGAGTGGCCTTTCCTCCTAAAAGACACCATTCCAATACTAATTAGAAATGGATTAATTATTTGGGCCAGCTCAGCTAGACTATTTCTGCATCCAAAATCTGTAGGTTTTTTAAAAAATGTATGTATATGAATGAATTAACATTAGGATATGTATTAGGAATACAAATTTAGGCTGGGCAAACAGTGGCCAATTTAGGTGGTGTCCCCTCTGTCCTATTGTGTCATCAAAAGACCATGACAGAGGCAGATGTGGCAATATAAATTTGTTGACTATCCATTCATATTTTCCACATACGAGGTTATTTATCATGTGGCAGGTGGCAATGGCCTCTGAACACAGCTGTCAACATTAAGGACCATGGAAATGCATGCAAATCAGGCAGATGGTAATGAAGCCTTAAATTGCCACGTGCAGAGAATATGATGTAACAACATATGGCCCAAGACAGCCAGTAAGTCTGTAAAAGCAGAGCTAAATCTAGAGTGTAAGGATGTATCTTATCCTTTAAAGTATCTCAGCTCATTTTACTACAGTTTTCACTGGAGTCATTCTCTCAAATGACAAGGAACACTGAACTTACTTGACATGCTGTTATTTTCTGCAGCCATTCAGACTAGAATGGTTTGCACACATGGGAGACCTCCTGGCTGATTGCAGTTTCAGTCTGAACAGATGGTGAAATTAAATAATCTTGGTTGTTGTTTTTTTTATTAAAAAAAATTCATCTCACATGAGCCCTTTGAAATATTTTATTAAGTTGCTTGTTCAAAGCTAAGAAAAATTTGTTTAAAAATGCAGACTACTGAGAAAATAAATTTTAATTTGTCTAATTTTAAATAAAATATAAAGTCAGAGAGAGCTATAACTGAATAGCAAAATTCTTTTATTCTAATTAAAAGCTACAAATATGTATTTATTTAGTAGTAATTCCTGCTATTCATTCAAATTAGTTACAGTGGTACCTCTGGTTACCTACTTAATTCATTCCGGAGGTCCGTTTTTAACCTGAAACTGTTCTTAACCTGAAGCACCACTTTAGCTAATGGGGCCTCCCGTTGCCGCTGCGCCACCGCCGCACAATTTCTGTTCTCATCCTGAAGTGAAGTTCTTAACCAGAGGTACTATTTCTGGGTTAGCGGAGTCTGTAACCTGAAGCGTATGTAAACTGAAGCATTTGTAACCCGAGGTACCACTGTACTAGTATGCAGAAGCAAGCATCCATGCATATTTCCTTAATAGGGTCTGCTTTGACAAACATTGGATATCACCCTTCGCTATTCATGTGGTTTCAAATCTAGCTACATGCTGCATGCACTGGAGCCCTAAAGTTACGGAGAGAGAAGGGATGTCCTCAGAATTCCCCTTCCTCACCAATTGGGTTAGTGGCAAAAAAAAAAGGGGTGCAGGTTCATTTTATCAGGATGCCTTACTGTTAAACAAACACTTAGGACTGTGTTGCAGATAATGATAGTGTATAGTCTGTTGCTGTTGTTTTTAAACCCTTAAAGTGGTTTACAAACCCAATTTTAGCTTCAGCCATGCTCTGTTACCACCAGCAGCAAACATAGGATTTTGTATTAGGCCTCCAGCACACTCTGGGACAGAAAATCATGCTTTGGATCAATAGCACAGAAGAAAACATTTACCCAGATATGACATAAAAGGTTTTGGGTTTTACACAGGAAAAGTTAGTAAATGTGTAAACACCTAAAGGACAGATTTGTCACAACCTAGAATTATGTTTCAACAAACAAAATTAAGGCAATACAAGCATTAAATTCATGGGTGCCTCCAGGCTGGCACTGTTTTATGGGAGAAATTAAAGCACATATCACAAGTTAGGATTCTATAATTAGAACATTCTGTCTTCCTAGTACAACAGATCTACTTTACCCTTTTTTTTTTTTTTTTTTGCTTTTTGCAGTTATGAAACTTGCTTTCTTTTAAAGACAGGTAGGCTGTGGCAGGCTGTTTTACAATGCTTCAAAATTGCCCACATGTTTAGTTGACTCAGACTTCTTTGTCCTTTGGAAAGCAAGGGTCATAACTGAACTTTTTACAGCAACACATTTCAAAACATAAACAGCTAATTCCAATTTATTTTTTTGGTCTAAACATAATTGTTCACTCAGCTTATGTATAAGGTTAAAATTCCATGCCAACATACTTCTGTGTTAATTACCTTTGGTGTTCAAATATGGACCATCTTGCCTGTGAGTCCTGGAATACCTGCTTCCTGCCTTGCAGACCTTTTCCACCTGGCCTGGGAGTGTGGAGCCCTGACTGATTGCAAGCTACAAATGCTGAGGCTGATTGCTGGAATGCTGTTTGGGTTTTTTTGTTGTTGTTGTTGTGGTTGTTGCTGGGGTTTTTTGTATCTTTGTTTTAGATCTTGTTGTGATTTATGTGGAAATTGTTTAGTTTGGCTTTGTATTTTTAAATGTTTTATTTATTGTTTATGACTACTTTTGTTATATTGGAGTTATGTATTTTTTTCATGTTTTAAGCCACACTGAGTACGGTCGAACTGTGGAAAGGTCGCATGCAAATTAAATTATGTATGTATTTATGCACGTTTATTTGTTGTGATGCATATTTACAAGGACTCTGAACAGTGCCTTCTGTAGTAACATTCTGCTATGCGTTGCCCACTCTCCCCACAATTTCTGTGTATCCCCCAAAGGTCAGAACTCTGTTCCAAATATCAGAAGAGAGTTTGAGAAGCACATACTAAGTTGTAACTGTTACCAAATGCCTTATTGACTGGAGAAGGCAGGCAGGAACAGCTTTTATTATGAACATCTTTCCTATGCAGTAAGGAAAATACATTATTTTTTAAAACTGCATTAATATTATTATCCACAAAGAAAGAGTACTGAACACCACAAACTTATCCTTGGACCCAAAGACATGAGATAAGCTTGCAATGCAGGGCAACTAGTTGCCACACTACACTTGTCCAGCTTTCAGAAGTTGGGTTGCATTGGTAGAAAGTGTTTATATCTTACTACTGTGCAGCTGTGCCAATGCAGTTACAAGGCTAAAGGTGGGCAATGAAGACCACAGCAATGAGAGTGATTTGGTTAGTTTAATTCAACATACTATGCATTAAGCACTAGTGAAATGTTAGCGTATGGCAGGGTTGAGCAGACTTCAAGCTTGTCAGATCTAATTTGGTGTTTTAGAAGAACATCAAGATCTGTAACAAGACCCAGGTGCAGAAGACATACTATTAGAATTAAAAAACAGGGCCTCTGAGCCTAGAGATATGTTTTCATTATCAGAACTGAACAGAGTTCAGTACATTCACACAAATTTCACTCCTGGTTACCTCAAGTTTTCTTCATTTCAGCAGCCTAATTTCATTGCAGCATTGTAATTTAAGGAGAGAAAGGAACTTTATAGTTCTTTTCATTGTAAAGGGGCCAGAAACCCTTGTTAATCTACTGAAAAATACTGCATAAAGATCTACCATTAGATCCCCATCTACCATTATACCTCCATCTACTGCATCTTCTGTTCACCTCAAAATAGAAAACACAATACTCAATGATATACATAGTTCAGGGACCAGGTAAAATGAAGGAGATAATTGTGACAAGTCCAGTAGCTAATCAATCATCATACCAGTATATATTAGCTACAGGAAGGGAACACAATTTATATATCAACATATATTTGGTTACCTGCATTACTATTTTGGGTGTGGATTCAGAAACCAGATTCCCCACTGGCTGGATCTGGGACGGGGGTGAGAAATCCAGGCAAAACTATCTCACTTGAAGAGATCAGACATAATCAAAAGTAACCACAGGTTTGACGTACCTTTAAAATGTGCGAAGTTCAATAAGTTCACAAAATCATGTTTACATTAGACTGTTTTGAAGAGAGGACTGGAACTAGAACCTTCTCCTTTCATAGTAGGAAGCTCATCCAGAACCAACTGTACAGTGCTAAATAGATGGTTTTGGTCTAGCCTAGTTTAATGTAAAAGTCAAGATGTACAGATTATGTATTGTATTAATGAATGAAATATTAACATTAAAGGAATCAAGCAAAAAATGAGTAATACACTGCAAAGTTTTATAAAACAAAAGATGATTTAATATGTGTAACAAACTATTTTAGTTCTTGGCTGATATTCAGTGTATTATCTTAAAAGCACAGTAGGTATTTAGTAACATATTTTATTTATGAAAATATTGTTTCACTTATTATAGAACACAATATAGTCCAGTAAATATTATTCATAAACATCCACAACTTCTTATAAAAATACAGGATTGCATGCAGGCTCGGAGTAAACACATTCAACCAAATTTTTACTGAAATATGGTGTGTAAAATTTAAATAGCTGTTTTCTAAGCAAGAGAAAACTTTTACATTTTGGTAAAGGTCCATCTCACTGCATATTTTTGAATGAAACACTGTGGTGAGCACAATCAGGAAGTCAAATGTGATCTCTTGAGCCCCTGACTCAAAAATCCACCAGCATTTTTAGACTACATACAATGATTTTATTATTCTATCAAACCACATGTATTTTTTCCTTCAGTATGATGAATGTGCATTTGAGCTACTACATTTTGTTACAAAAATATTTATTATTATTTTTATTGGGCTTTTATAAAAGCCAACAGAAGAAAACAGACCTATAAAAAGTCTTCATCTTCAAGAGGTCATCATGTACATCTACAAATTATCTTTATGACATTTTCATAACTCATTGGTTTTTCATGTCTTCATTGCCTGGATCTGATCTAGGTAAAACAAATAAAGTTGATGTTAAAATGCTGTTTTTATTTAATTATATTAGCTACAGAATTCTAGTACAGTAGTCCCTCGGGTTAAGAACTTAATTTGTTCTGAATTCATTCTTAACCTGAAATTCATTCTTAACCTGAATTCATTCTTAACCTGAATTAACCTGAATTCATTCTTAACCTGAAACTGTTCTTAACCTGCAGTACCGCTTTAGCTAATGGGGACTCCCGCTGCTGCCGCTGTGCAATTTCTGTTCTCATCCTGAAGCAAAGTTCTCAACCCGAGGTAATATTTCTGGGTTAGTGGAGTCTGTAACCTGAAGCGTCTGTAACCCGAGGTACCACTGTAGTATTAAGGCTTCTGAACTATTTTATAGAGCCTTGAAAAATGAGCTATAACCTGTGCTTCCTTCATAGAAATGTTCTTATGGATCAGCACTGCAGTGTGTAAACATGGATCTTCACACAGCCAATATAATAAATGGCACTTCTCTGCCTCTCATCTTTTAGTCTCTGCTGACATCTAGCGGTGTATTTTAAATAAAACACTGTACTCAACTAAGGCCAAAGCTTAGAGCAAAGCTTCTAAAAAGCATGCAAAAGAGCTTGCCACTAACTATGTAAACCAGTAATTTCCTATAAGAATATTCCATTCCAAAACAGTGACCATTGGAATAAAAATAAAAGCTGATTATATATTATTTACTAAATAATGAGTTATGGGGCAACCCAGTCAGATGGGCGGCATTTAAATAATAAAATTATTATTATTATAATAAATTAAATGAAGAGAGACAGTATCACTATTAAAGCCCAAACAATGGTAGATATTAAACAATAATTATGATAATTATGATAACTTACACCAAAGGATAGTGGAGGATAATAATGTGGGATGCTTGAATGCTGCATAAAACTTCTTAAGACTCATTCAGTCAACGAGAGCAGACAGTGAGAATGAGACTTGAAAATGCAATTATCTCTAGACCTAGATATCATCTAGTCATTTTGAAAATTCTCTGGTATGTACAGCATAAAAGCTGCCACATTTTACTAAATATGCTTTAGCTTTTTGTAATCTACATCATAATGCTACTTGCTTTCTGTTATATACATAAATAAAAGAATCATACATTCCACGCTTATAGCATTGTACTCAGACCACAAGCACTATTTCTTAGTCTTAGTTTAGGAGTAACAATACTGCCCATATATTTGCTTAATTTAAATGGGAAGTTTTAAAGGGAGGTATTTTTGCTAAAAATATAAAGTGTAACACACAGGGATCCAAATAGCCAAGTTTGATGAGTATACTCACTGTGTAATCTGATCTGATAGCAGAAATAGATTGAGGGAAAAGCAAAATGAAATGACAGAAAAGACTACAAAATGAATGGAAAAGGGAAGCTGGTAATGCAAAGCATGATGAAATGTACCTTGAAGCCAGTCTACACCTTCTTGCAAACCTTCTCCTTTAAGAGCATCACTAGCACTAAAATGAGAAAAGAACAAACTTTTCTTAATGGCACAAAAAAACTAATGAAAAAAGTGATTACATTTTCTACAGTTAGTTAAGATCAAATCATAGCCACAGAAGTATATTTATTGTTAGTGTATGAAGATAGTACATAGCACAGACCAACATGAAAGATGCTGAGATACTTAGCTGCTGCCCGAAGCAGCAAACCTCAATTTCCTCTTTCTTTCAACCATTTGCAATAAAACAAAATCTAACATGACATCATCACGTTCAGTTTCCCTGCCCTATAAGGAATGCCTAACAAAGTGGAAGCAGTGTTTGCAGTGTCCAGAAGAGAATACAAAAAGTTAAGTGAATTAGCAAGATCCTCACAAATCGATGGGAATATATGAGAAAATAAGACTACAAGGGCTGTAGCAGCAGTAGAGAAGTAACTGTAAGCAGTCCATTTCTTAAAATATTTCTGTCAATATTGACCCTTCTCTCTTTCCTCTGGCCCATGATCTCTTCCTCTCTTTGGCTCCCTTGCTTCTGCCTCCTATTTCATCTGCCTCTTCCCTAAAGTCTTTACTACAGAGGTAAGGAACCTTTGGGCCATTGGCCATCTTCGTCCACTAGGAGGTCCAATTTAGCCCACAAGGCCACTTTCCCCAAACCACACCCACCCGATGATCAGCTGATGCCACTGGTGACATTAGCTGATGGACAAGAGGAAAGGGTTTAATCCTGCTTTGGCTGCATGCCCTGTGCCCACCAGTGAGTTGGATTGCTCAGCCAAAGCAGCAGGATTTAATCTTCACTCATCAGATGATGAGTAGGAAATTAAGCCTTTTGCAAAAGCACTGTTTGAAGTAACTTGTGCCTCTCCTTTAAACAGGCAAGTGGAGAGGTAAGTGGATGGCAGCAGGGTAGCTAGAGGACTTCTCTCCCGCACCACACTGCTGCTGCCACCAACTACCTGTACTTAAAGAGGAAGTATTAGCTTCTCCAAACAGAGGTTTTGCAAATAATTTAAGGCAGCCCCCATGCTCACGTTTCAGCCTCCAGAAGCAGAGTGGGGAGGGGGACCAACTTCTCTGTTTCTCATCCTGCACAAGCCTGACGTAACCTGAAATGTTGCACACTCGCCAACAAGTTAGTGAAAATATAACTTTCCAAATAATAGCAATCTATGCCTTTGTCATTGCCCACAGTCTTCTGGAGCAGGTGGATATTTTTGGGGGGTGGGGTGCATAAGGGCTGCAGGCGGAGGTGAGGAAGGAGAAATATCATTGCTTCAGCGGGTCTTTTCCACTGATGGGCAAACACAGCTTGATCCCACCAATTGTTGCCTTACATCAAGCAAATGGCAAGCTGTGATTTGCAAACACTGGTAGCTTTCCAGAGGTATTCCAAGATGCTGAGATTAATAAGATTCTGTCAGTTTCTTGGTTTATCTTAGAAAAACAACCCTGCAAATTCAAACACCAATCTTCTACAAATAGATATTACCATTATACAACTGTGTAACATGCCACTGATTACAGCTTGCTTTTGGAATCAGTATTTGTATACTGGTTATCACAGAGTTTTCTTCACTCAATATAAGCATTAGTAACTTAAAACTAATTTTAGTACAAAATGAATGTAAGCCAATTTTACCAGATATGCCATGGCTTGTCTTTGATGTTCTCCAAAGCCAATAACTGAGATACTTTTACTGATGACACAGCAAACCTGAGGTCCATCTTGTTTGCAAAGAACAAAATTGGTATTCTTCGGTGTTTAAGATCTAGGAGTAACATAATGTTTTGTTAATCCATTCATATTTTATATAAACACATTTTTACAAGGCGACAATATGCCTACACTGCTCACCTGTTAATGCCATCTTTTGAAGGTTTTATCCTACTAAGATAGAAACACTGGACCATGGCATCTCTGGTGCATGTTTCAGTACAGTTCCGAAAGTACCCATCCCCAAAGATGTATGTCTAAGGCTGCAAAGTTTATAATTAAGCTAAGTCCCTATGCACTGTCATATCCTTACTGTTTTTAAGTAAGTGTTTCATTAAGAAGCTCTTCTACAGAACCTGTAGATATGATACAGGGTTTCAAAATCTCCTATGAGATTGTGGCACATTTGCATGCAGCAAGAATGTAACAAGCTATATGAACTGACCAAAATATGCTTGTTGTGGATTATATCTAGCAAGTACTAAAAGCAGGGAATTATTTTTAAAAACAAAGAGACGCTGAGCCTGCCTGGGAGCCATGTCATCTGCCCTGCTAGTCAGTTTTACTGAGCTCTCAGTGTGTGTGTAGCTGCAACTGCTCATTAGAGAGGAAAAGGCACATAAGAAGAGACACAGTGTAGTAATAGTAGTATTACTTCACACAGGCGAGGATTCAATTCTTGTTCTGAAAAAAAGATTCTGGGGCTGAGATCTGATCATGGTTAAAGTTGCACTTGAAGACAAATTAGTGAAGATATTCCAATCAATAATATAGAATCAGGAAAATTATTTGACAAGAAAAAACCCTAAAATCTAGTTTATAGCTTTGCAGTCGATCTACAGTACAGAGTACAATATATCATAAATATTCTATACAACCAGTAACAATTTCATCAACATCAATCTTACTTCATGGTTTTTATTAAGTCTACTAACATCAGAGAAGTTACTTCCATAGATGTAAAATAACTATATTATGGAATAGAAATACAACCATATATTTGGCAGTATTCTGTTACAGCTGTTGCTGAAGGCATCTATTTTTAATATAAAAGCCAAATCCTATCTCCAGTGTAGTTTTTAATCTAAGTTTTGAAAATACAGATCTGTCGCTACTCCTGAATTATACAGTTGTTAGATTATTCCCCCGCCCAATTTCAATGTTCAGTTAGATCAAAGTGAATTATTTCAGCAACTACACTGGAGCCATCCCATGTAACATAACAAGGCTTTCCCTTACAGGTGTAGGCCTTCCCTTACAGGTGTCCAAACAGACATAAGGGGATTAGCTGAGGAGTCACGCAAGCTCAGGATGGTGCCAGAGATGCATATTTGCAGTCCCTTCTTATGTGTGAAGAGGGCTGGAGAGATGTGTCTCAGGCCCAGCCTGAAGGTATTTGCCTTGTTGGTGCAAATTGTCGGAAACCAATGTAGTAAAATCTTATTGAATTGCCCACAAGCTGTTGCAGCACATTATGTTTAGGGGACAAATTCAGAGTTTAAAATTTATGCAAGTTCAATTAATTTCTTATTTCTGAAATTTGTTCTGGTATCCTTATATTAAATTAATTTCATCTTGAATTATACTTGTGATACTCCGATTAACAGAAAATATACTGAAATCTTTCTTCTAGTTATCTACTGGGGAGAAAAACAAGGAGGTTTTATATGCAAATACAAAGTTACCAAGAAAATAGTTGTTTCATGTCAAAGACATATAGTAGGGATAGAACTGAGTGAATGATAAAGGATCTTCTCACCTGGATGATTCATGAGAGTGTCAAGTTCTTCTTTGGCCACAACCATTCTTAGTGTGTCATTGCTATCAATGACAAAAATAATGGCCTGGCAATCTCTGTGTGTCATAGAAAGCAAAGAAGCAAATTAGATGCTTCGTAAAATGTTGAGTAACAAAATGAATTAACAGAATCCTACTTCAATGTGTTGTGTGTTACTGTACTAACTGGTAGCAGCATATTCCTTCTAGATTCTTAGAAAAAACATTATGTTCCATATGCTGGTACTCAAGCTATTTTCAAAACAGACATGAATCTTTGCTTAGATTTATAAGCATAGTACTTCTAAAACAAGGCGGACCAACTTTTCATATCAAGTGAGCTGCAAGAGTACTTCAACATGGAACCTAGTGCCCTGCAGATGTTTTGAACTCCAATTCCCATTATGGTTGTGCTGGCTGGAGCTGGTAGGTATTGTAGTCAAAAAATCTGGAAGGTATGAGGTTAGGAAAGGCTGCTGTAAACATTAGTTAACTTAAAATTAATTATGCATAAGTATTCATTTTTTTTATTTTGCAAGCCTATGCATATTATCTTAAGTCACAACAGAAGTATCATTATCATATTTTGCAATTACTCCCATTCACCTTCATAAATTTCATACAGAAATGATGAGAGACTTGTAGTTTCTACATATGTACAAATACTGCAAATTTCAGTCTCACAATAAAAAAGAACTTACTTGTAGTAGTGTTCCCAAAGATTTCTATATCTACCTTGACCCGACATATCAAACACAGTGAATGACAAACTATAAACAAAATAAAATAAAATATAAAATTAAAACTGAAATGCTTTGATGGCTATGTACAATTATTACCTAGTCTACTGAACATAGTAGCGCTCACTTCTGACTCATTATTGAACCACTTATTGATATGCTTTTGATAGCAGAAAACTTCATATTAACTTGTATGGCAACACATCATATTCAATTAAATATCAAAACTGGATACTTAAAAAACAAAAAAATAACTATTGATTCTTAAGCCAACGGTTGAATTCAAAATAGCACTAAGGAGATCACTCTCACTACCCCCTACACTCTTTTCTGGGGGTTCTCCCAACCCCCCAGAGCTGATTGGTGGGGTATAGCTTCATTGCACTATTTATTTTTTGACTAAGTAAATTGTTTGAGTGAACTCAGTGAGACTTACTACTAAGTAAACATGCTGATACCAGGACTAATTAGGCCTGGGGCCCAGAGGTATCCCACCCTTGCTATAATGCAAGACACTCTTGACGTTGAGGCAACTTTCAGAAGCAATTTTATTATGGCACGGGGCACGTTGTTCAAACGGAAAAGTCAACAATTCTGCTGGGCAAGCTTCAGCCTGGGAGCTGCTTGGCTCCTGGACAATGTTTTCTTTTAAGTCTAGTTAAAGAGACTATCCAACACTTAAAATCATTAATATGAAAGGCATAAATTTTCAACAGTACCACTTAAATATGTGAGACCTTTTCTACAAGAAATCTGTCTTAGCAATTTGTGATCCCTTCCCCACAGGCTTGTCACAATGACTACACATAGCATAACATCTCCATACCAAATCAAATGTTATAGTTAATGCAGCCTATTAGAAAGACAATTCTCTTGTCTAATACATAATTATATAGAATATAAACATAATGAAATATAAGGGTCTTACCTAGATGTCTTAAATTTTTCTACACTGAATCCTATTGTGGGAACAATATCTTGAGTTTGAGCCTTCAAAAGAAAACAAAATCGTCTTTAAAAATTCATGTTCAATTTGAATACTAAAAATCAGTAATATATTCTCTCGATCCAAATAAATAATAGTTTAAAATGTCACGTGGCATCATATATTTCCCCCTCGTGGCTCGCTATGGCTCATTCTCATCATGCTAAACTAATGCTGGCTAAGTATGTGAAGAGCTCAGAATATACTAAAATGCTATATACATGCTAAGTAGCAGTACTGTGGATATTTAGCTTATTTAAATCAGTTATTTAATGCAGTATGATGTTTGTGTTGGCAGCAGAGAACAGTAGTACCAATACCTAAACAGGCAACCTATGGATACTGCAGGAATACACAAGCTTTTAAGAAACATTGGATGGTGTAAAAGGTAAATGATCTTTGGACGGTTAAGTCCAGTTAAAGGTGACTATGGGGTATGGCGCTCATCTCACTTCAGGCCGAGGAAGTCAGTGTTTGTCTACATACAGCTTTCTGGGTCATGTGGCCAGCATGACTAAACTGCCATTTACCTTCCTGCTGCCGTGATAACCTATTTATCTACTGGCACTGATATGCTTTCAAACTGCTAGGTTGGCAGAAGCTGGGACAAAGCAACGGGAGCTCACCCTGTTGTGCGGAATCAAACTGCTGCCCTTCTGATCTGCAAGCCCAAGAGGCTCAGTGGTTTAGACTACAGTGCCACCTGCTCCCTTATTGGATGGTGTAGCAGTAAGACAGCAGGTACATTTTGTTGGATCCAAACTTAGTGATACATAAGAGAAGACTCATTAAAATAAACCACGACCAGGGTTTTCTTGGTCCTCTCCTCACTCCATAAAACATGGCTCTTCATTCAGCAACATATTGCAATTCCCAAATTGTACAGTTTTGTGGAGTAGCACGGGGATGGCAACAGCTTTGCGAAGGGGACTGGAAAATGCTGCAATGCATGCAGAGCTCAGCCCATGACCTTTGTACAGTTTGCACATAATGCTCAGTTAAATCATGGCTAAGTGTGAACGAGCAAGCACGCAGGTTACTCAGAGTGAAAAGCATAGCCACTTTGCTCCTTCTCTGCTATCTGGAGCTGAGCCATGGTTTGATTTAATGTTACATCCAAACTCGGTCTCCTGGTTTGTTTCCCCCAAACAAATCATGAGCGGTAAACTAAGAGCAAACCTTGGCTACAGTTTGCAATTTGTTTGGAATGAGACAAGCCACAAGTGAAGTTTTGAACATTTTACTAAGCCAAAAGAGAGTTTAGCTGCAGGAAGTATGGCAGAGCAAAACCAGGGAGGAGCAAAGAGGCCACAACTTTTGCTCCAGAGAGATGCATGCTTGCTTGTTCATACTTAGTCATGGTTTGGCTTAGTATTTAGGTGCTAGCACAACTAGTGACTAAGTACTTAATGTTTTCAATCTAATATGGCTTAACAAAAATAAGTGTGGCCTTTCTGTACTAGTTGAAAGTAACAAACCAGTATGCTAATGTTTTGGTTATAGTTGTTTAACACAATAAGCTTTTGCTGAAATCATGTCAAAGCATAATTGAAAAGACCTTAATGATATATTCATTCTTGCCCTGTATTTAGAGCCAAGGTATCACAGATACTATTTAAGGAAAAGCTATTTAAAGAAAGGTATAATAGCATTTAAAAAACATATACATATCTGCATGTCTGCAAAAGGGTGTGTATGTATAAACAGTATTCATTTCCTAAGCACTAGTTGATTCAACTTAAATTTGTTTACAGGCCATTGTGAAAACCCAAACATGGGCACCATAAATCATGTATTTCCAACTATACAATGGATGCCTCATATTAGATCTTAATAAATTCACTTTTAATCTCTGCTATTTTTGAAATATATCCCCTGAGAAAAGGCCTGGGATAGCAATGTTTAATATTTTTATTTAATTCATTTTTCTGAGGTCTGCTCTTCTTTTCTATATTAAAACCAATAAGGAAGCTTTCTTTCTTCTTCATTAGATGGGTAAAATTACAATTCTGAACACACTTCCTGGAGAGTAAAGCCCCTTTGAATAGTGGAATTTCTTCTGAATAAACATTGATAGGGTACTGAAAATCACACAATAGGACTACCTAAGAAAATTCTCATTTGAACAAGCAGTTTAGAATTATACATCGTATCAAAAATTAAAAATAATGTGATCTACTTCCAAAAGAGAAAATGGTATATAAAGATGAATGCCATCTTAAACATTAGAATTTCAGTATGGTACAAAAGAAATCTTTCTATACATGTATCCAAATATGAGCATTATCTTTACTACAAGATTTGGCAAACGAGCAGGTAACATACTAAAAAGGACTACTTACATTAGATGGTTTTAGTTTGTTAATAATTGTTGTCTTGCCACTATTGTCCAACCCAAGGCACAGAACATGAACTTCTTTCTTCTTCAGACCAAGCCAGCCTGCTAGCTTGTCAAATAATCCCATAATTTTGATATAATGGCACAGTCAACACCTGTGTTTGCAAATAATATGTCTACTTAAAACAGTTGAAATTATTGTAGATGGACATGAAGGCAAAAGTCTTCAGATACTTAATACATATGTACATACAAACTCCCAAGAGAAAATGTTTTCAATCTGTGTCAGCAGGTTGGTTAATTTAAGCAAGTAGAAGATAAGCTGATTATTTGGCAAGAGTCTCTTGCCAAAGCAGCCTGGCTGCTTATCGCTCTGTCTAAAGCATCACTCTTTAGTTCAATGGATACCTGTATTATCACAGATAGATTATTTTGTGTAACCAGGTTAGTGAATTCATTTACAATGATATCTAATGCAATTGACATTGCAAATTCTATCTGTTTTACATTTTAAATCCTCCCCCCTTCACATTTTGTTTTTTTTTAATTTTTATTGGTTTTTCCTCCCCCTTTCACATTTTGAAGGATAATGGAGTTTTAGTTCTTGTACTGTTTTTTGGAAAGTGCAATTCAGGCTGGTTTGCCTTTCTTTATATGTGAACTGAATTTCTCCCCCATTCCTAGTATTCAAAAGAAAGGGGGAAAAAATCAAGGCCCACTGAATTCATTGGGGCTTAATCCATTTGTAAGAAGGAATGGGGGCTGCTCCCTTTGCATGCAATACTGCACAAACTTGGTGAACATCCAGTCAACTTGGTGGTAGCTTCTTCCAAGGAGACGTGAACAGGAGTGGCTTGTAAACAGGAGGGTGACGAGCTCCTGCCCACAAGCTATTTCACATGCAAGAGGATATATACATGTGTGTGTCCCCTCCATCCCTCAGAAGCTACTCAGGTGAGGGAAGCAGAACCACCAAAGAGGCAGAGCACCTACAAAGGTGGCTTTCCCTGTGGAGTTCCTTCATCCTGACTTGCTAAGAGGCTTCCTGACTCAGCCCAGGTGACAGAATCATAGAACAAGAACATATGTTTAGAGAAGATTGGAAAATGTTTACAGTGGTACCTCGGGTTAAGTACTTAATTCATTCCGGAGGTCCGTACTTAACCTGAAACTGTTCTTAACCTGAAGCACCACTTTAGCTAATGGGGCCTCCTGCTGCTGCCGCGCCACTGGAGCACGATTTCTGTTCTCATCCTGAAGCAAAGTTCTTAACCTGAAGCACTATTTCTGGGTTAGCGGAGTCTGTAACCTGAAGCGTATGTAACCTGAAGCGTATGTAACCCAAGGTACCACTGTATTGAATATATTGGGGGGGGGAGGTTGTGTACACTTCAAAACCTTGGCAGCATTAAGATAAATTCAACAGTGTAAATAAGTTTTGATGGATGTAATAATGGAATACTGAAGGGTTTTATGATATGCAAAATGAACCACGGAAAGAGATTAAGGGAAGTCACTGATATTTTAAGGATGTTTAAACGAGTATTCTAATTTGTAAAACAGAAAATTTAATAATAATAATTATATATATAAAACACACACACACACAACGCCCCCCCCGACAATCCTCCTCGCCAATGAAGCTCATGAGGTGAACTTTACCCAGCACTCGCCTACCTCGCAGGGCTGTTGTAAGGATGAAAGGGAAGAAGGGGAACGAAACTGCTCCTAGCTTGTCGGAAGAAATGCCAGGATAAAGGCCATTAATAATACTAGAGTTCCTAACTGCTGGGCGCCTGACAAGAGAACGGCGCACCCACCAACCCCCTCGGCACCGGTTCAGGCTGACCCCTGAGGGAAAAGCCGTCGAAGCCTCCGCCCGCGCATGCTCCCCTCGTCCCCTATTTGCCCTCTGAGGGAGAAACAAAACGCCCAACCGCCACCGGCGCTACTCACGAAGGGAAACGCAGCCTCCGCCGCCGGCCAGGCCTTGGAAGAGCGAGCCCCTCCCGCGCGCACCCTCTTCCGACGCCTGCGTCGTTGCCTAGGAGACAGAATCGACGCACGAGCCGCGCCCTCCACGGCGGGGGCTCCACAATGCTCATTATTCTTATACTCTCGGAAGCCTTCCGTGACGTCAGTGGATTCTATTGGGTGGATGAGCGGGGGGAGGGAAGAAGGGAGGAAATCGCCCATATAGACTCACACAATCTGCCCAATGTTCAGTTTCTGGAATCGTCTGGTTTCCCCCTTTCTGTCGGGAGGGAACTTATAGAGTTACTTATAGAGAGCAATGCTGAAGAAGTGCTGTAACTGAGCAGCAGCAAATACAGGTCTGGCTCATGCATTGTCTAATTTTGATCATAGTTCGTGTGATGTCTTGGCTGCCACTTTATATTGAGTAGGGAAGAAGAGATGTTCCTGCCAAAGCATAGCTACGTTGAATTTGTGAATTTAAGCGGCTCTTACTTCAGCCGCAGGAAGACAAAAAACCATTTTTACAGATATTTCAGGGGTTCTATCTTCAAAAATTGGTGAGATTATACTTTCTTATCTCTATGAGCATGGCAACCCCTGAGGTATATGACAACAAAGAGGTACAGCATTTTTTTAAAAAAACCCTACTGCCGCATGACACTTCCGGTTCCTATCAAAATGCTCCATGTGCGGGGCTGGAGTGTTGGAAGGAACCAATGCAACATTTTAAATAAAACAAGCAGGATCCTCTTCGTTGACGTGATAAAATCTTACTGACACAACTTCCAGCTGTATTATGACCTGCTTATTATTATGGCATAAACTGTCATGGCTTACTAAGGATAATGCATCTGATGAAATGGACTCTGGTCTAACAAAGCTTATGTTCTGATTTTATTTGTGTATTAAATCTAGACTCCACTGCCCCTACACAAAATTCAAAGGGCCATACATAGTTTCCAAGCCTCATAAGAAGCCCGTCAGACAGGCTAGGCCAAAAGGGGCTGACTGGCCCAAGATCATTCGCTGGATCTGCCAGAGGACATATTTCATCCAGGCAAAAGCACTCAAGGTGGACCATAGAGCAGGACAAGTGAGAGGTGTTGCCTGGGAAGAGACCTCCTGAGGAAAAGAGAGGGAAGCATGGAGGGCCATATTCAGTTCTCAGACCTGAGGTTCTCCACAAGAACTAAGGGACCTTTGCCCTCCATGTAAAAAAACAACAACTAAGCACCACGGTGTGTTGACTCACCAGACTCAGTTTTTACATTCATATGGGTAGTATAAAAGAGAACTGTTGTAAAAGTTTTAGTGGAAGTGCAAAGCCTAATATGGACAAATTTGCTCAGGTTATAGGTAACCTATAAAGTACTGCAAATACATTACGGAACGTAAATACATTAGGAAATACCAGGCAGACTATGAGAATTATCTTCATGTACAAGTCTGAATTAAAGTGTAGGGAGCTTCCTTTTTCATCCAAAATTCCAGATTAGGCCTACATTCTTAAAAAATATAATCTCCTGAGCTCAGAAACACAATGCAAACAGAGCCCATTAGGGTTCTGTCTCTGAATCCAGTTTCTCTTCAACTGTTTTTTTGACAGATGCTGTGACAGCACAATTATAAATAGCCAATACATGAATTACTGAGTTACATCTTGAACCAGCAGTGTGGTCTTAAACAGATTGACTTAGAAGGAAGCCCTTCTAAGTTAACTGTAAGGTATTCCTAATAAGAATGCTTAGGACTGCAGCCTCTGTCTCTACTAAATCATTTTGGGATTCTCTCTTTTCTTTCTCTTTAGTAGGTAATGATATACAAATTTAATAAACCAAACTACTACATTTATCGTCTGGTCCCTTTTTGTAAAACAGGGGTTCCAGAACTGTGGTTCGTCAACCATCAGTGGTCCGTAAGCTTCATTCAAGTGGTCCACAGCATGTCTGTAGATTTAATGCACATCCATGGCATCAAATGTTCATACTGATTTTTAATTGTATTTTTATAGCTTATTTTATTTCTTATATTCTTACTGCATTACAATTTGAATTTTTATGTACTGAAGTTCTCACCCTGGGCCACCAGGGGGATACTGTAGATAGTTATGCAAATAAGGGATCGAAAGTGACGTTCAGTGATTGGATAGTTTTAGAAAATTGTTACAGTTACATTGTACTGGAGCTCTATATAAGCAGGCTGATTGAACCCTTCCGTTCCGTTCTGTCCCGGCCTGTGAATAAACAAGAGGTGTTTGAAGAATCGCTGTGTCGTCTGATATGTTCACCCACAACTTAACATGAATGATATGGAATTACAATTGCCGCAACAGGCAGGAAAATCATTAAGTAATCTGCTAAGACCCTCAGCAATTTTCAAGTGGTCCATGGTGGGGAGGGGGAAGTTTGGGTACCACTGTCTTAAAACAAGCTAGAGAAAAATGGAGGTCATCACCTCTATTTCACAAGATAAAAGCAGAAGAAAACATCTGACCTACTGCATGCTAGAGCCTGCTTGTTCCCCTGCAAGAGCAATACCAGCCAGAGCTAATGACCTCACTGTTCATATCCTCTCACCTGCTTTGATGCAAGGCAGACAGGCTCATAAACCACAGGGGAGAAAGGCCTCTAGCTGTGCTTTTTAAGAGAAACATTTATCCAGCTATCACATAAAGAGACACATGAGACACTGTTATCTGGGAACTTGGTTTGGCACCTGGTCCTAAAATGCTGCTGCTTGAGGTTATTTTGGTTCCTATTGGCTCTAATGCAGGCGAGATTTGATACAATATGTAGCTGGTTTCCTTATGGCCCTTTATGGACTTTTATTAGCATGTACATATCATATTCTGCAAGATTTAGGTGAAATGGGAAAAAAATTCAACTCAGAAATAACCACCAGTACTGTACTTTTATTTGCTAATAAATATCTTAATAAATAGTCTTACTCCATCTGTAAGACCTGATAATGCCTCTTAGGAAATCATAGAAAAATAAAATACAATAATCATCAGTAACTTGTACGTTGTACAAATATCTTATTATGTTGCTCAGCATGTAGCTTTGCCAAACCCCATATTCTTTCTGCAAATAGATGGCATATGAATGCAATTCACCTTAAAACACCCTAGTTATGATAGCTGAGCATTTTATTATACTACTAACTTATAGGCATGCCAGCACACGAAAATTTACATGAAACATCATATTATCATAGTAGTAGATCTCAAATGAGGAAAATAATAACACCTCTCAAGTAAATGTGGATTACTTCATTTTTAATTTCAAACAGGAAAATGGCTTCATTTCCCCTTGGGACTGCAGATCAGTATGTTAGGCTTTCCTTTGGACAGTTATTCCTGCATTACAATTTAAGAAAAGAAAGGAAAGTGCAAATTAAATCTAAGTGGAAGTATAGTAAAAGGAAATAACTGTAAACAATGGTGCAGACCCAAGGGGAAAACAAGTCAGATTTCTAAAATTGACACGTAGCCCTTCTCTTCAAACCTGGTGACTTTAGCTTGCAATTGTCAGTAAGACACAAACATATACATATTCATAATCTATGATGGGCATAGCTTAATGTAAAAGAGCACAAACTTCCCGTTCAAACTCCTTAAGTGTCAGATGCATATGAAAAGCAGGAGCAGTGTGTGTGTGTGTGTGTGTGTGTGTGTATGATGTCCACAGTCAGATCAATTGAAGGAGATGTTTCATATGAAATGATCAGTGAATGTGCATGCAAATTGGCTTTCTTCTTTGAAATGTGAAGCTCTCCCAATTTCTGAGTACTCAGAGCAAATTGCTGGATGAGGGTGAAACGTTGTTGTTGTTGTTGTTGTTGAATTGCTGCAGTTATAGTTGACTATAAAAGTGAAAGAAGCAATAGCAAAAAGCAAGAGTTGTTTAATATACAACATTTTGAAAACGATATGGAAAGATAGGTATGTGCTGATGCCACTTACTGGTTGTAAAAAAATTATTTGTTTGTTTGTTTATTAATTGTCATTATATTTAGGTATAATACTACTGCCATTTTGAAGCCATGTACCTTGTGTTTTGAAATTGTTATTTTAATTGCTGTGTAAATAGTTTGCAAACATATCATTTAACAAATTTTATGACTGGGCTTGTAAAGGAAATTATTTTAGCATAGCAGTCAAATGAACATAAAGACAAAAAATGAAAAAGTTATTTTAATATTCATATATTTCAGGTGTTGATGAAGCTCAAGGAAGAAAACAAACAGCATCGTTAACATTAGAACCATTTCAATCTGTATTTTGGAGAATGACAGCCACATTTCCTAAATGGAGTAAATTTCTTAAAAGTCAGGATCAGGCGAAATATTGGACTTGCAAATAGTTGTTTTTAATAAAAAGTAATTACCATACTGAACATTAATTGTAAGTCTAAAGGTCTAAGAGTTTGGTTCTATTCTATTGGAATATTAGGGTTATTTATCAGAATGGCCCTGAAACACATTGTAAGTTTGCTTCTACTACCAATGTTTAAAAGAATTGCACATATAAGTGGGATCAGGTTCTGCTTTTTATTATTTAAGGTGTTTATTATATGATGATATCAGTTATTCGTCCCAGTCTGTGTCTGTTTCAAAACAAAAAGGAGCTGCTCTTCACAGAACTGTAATGATTGCATATGCAAACATAGTCGTAACTCTATTCAAAAAGCAAAACCAAACCAAACCTCAGACAGTTGAAACCCTTGACAACCAAGGCCGCTAAATGAATAGTGTTAAGATTTTGGATACAGGAGAAGTTAGCTGTAATTGAGCACTGGACTATGGATTTACCCTTGGACATTGGTCTGCTCCCCTCAAATGGGGACTTTGTAAGACTAGTATCATAGGGCTGCCTTACAATGAATAAGGGAGCAATTCTAAACTCCCTGGAAGGGCAGCTACGGGGGGCATAGGATACTATGGAATGCCCTCTCTATGGTTAGAGATGAAGAGGTTCACTGCTGGAAACGTTCCTTACTGCAGTGAGAGTTCCACAGTGTTCAAATGGCACTTTGCTTCACTGTTAAGTGGATGGGCAGCAGTAGTTCCACATCTCCCACTTAAAGAAGAAGAGAAAGCGATTTAATCTCCACTCATCAGCTGATGAGCTAGGCATCACCTGCTGCCTAGGCTGCACAATCCTGTTCTTTACAGAGACAAGGGCAGCACATCATGTGCAGGATAGACCCCTGTCCTGCCCATCAGCTGGCATCACCAGTGACTTGGGCAAAAGGGCCTGGTGGGCCAAACTGGACCTTCTGGCAGGCCAAGTTTGGCCCACGAGCCAGAGGCAGTAGGCAATGTAAAGGAGTGTGCTGGGTGTGTGCCAGGCATGGATTCATGTTTTATAAGGTTTTATGTGTTGGAAGCTGCCCAGAGTGGCTGGGGTAACCCAGCCAGATAGGTGGGGGTAATAATAATAATAATAATAATAATAATAATAATGTATTCACCTATTTATTCAATGTCACCCCAAAATAACTGCAAACCTATGCCAGCCCTGGAGCTGTCATAGTTAATCCCTCCTAGTCATAGTCAGTGGGAGGGAAATTAGGAAAAACTTTTCCGCCACAAGAAATATGAGGAGATAATGCTCCTCTTCACTTTATGTATTCACCTGTGCAAGCCTGCCAGGACTTAGGAAGTGGTGGTTCCTGTGCCAGAGACTCTCCCCCTGACCTTGAATTGCTTTGCCAAGTTTTTTCAAAGTAATGAAATACATGATAACTGCACTTTGAAAGTCTCTTATTAGGACCAAACATTTAAGTGCTCTAGAAATAAGTCACAGTAACCTGGCAGATTTTCATGAATACACCCACTCACCCACACTTTTTGCTTCAACAGTAACTAGCACTTCAATTCTAGGTACATCTGCTTTGAAAAACACTCCACAGTGTCAAGGACTTGTGTATATAAGTTGTGGTTAATTGCAACCGTATGATCATGTCTACTTGCAAACAAGTTCTGCTTGAAGTCACTGGAGAGCATTTCCTTATAATAAATTAAAGATCAGGTTGTGAGTAGGCTGAAAGGCAAATACTTTTGCTTAAGTACGTGTGCTTTGTGACTTTGGAGAGCCAAGCACATGTCAGCTGGTCCTTGATAAAGTAGCAGAAATGTGAATCGCTTATTTTGGAAAACTTGACACAGAAACAATAGATTAGAGGTGGTATAAGATTGCATCTTCTCTTGCATTAGACACTCCTATATAATTCTATCTTGCCATTTTCAGGTAGAGATTTTTTGGGTGTCATGGCCCAGGACCCAGACATATACTCAGGAAGTTCCTCAATGAAGTAGAAGCCTGATGAGCTCAACCCTGTACCATAATGGGAAGCAAGAACACATTTCCATGAATAGTTTTACTGAAGAGGATGAAGAATAATTGTTGGAGACTTCATCCCACCCATTTCTCATCCCTGAAATCACTTCCCTTCTAGCATCTATTAGTCCCTGGCATCCTGTGTTCATTGCCACATTGCAGTGGGTATCCGAAGACATGTATTAACATTGACAGAGTATAATTAGGGTAATTGTGGGCTAACTTCAAATAACACACACCTATTTGCAGCTCAATAGGCTCCTACTGTGGGGGCATCTCTTTAGGCATGGATGGGCAACCTGTGGCCTTCCAGATGTTACTGACTCCCAACCCCATTAGCTCCAGCCAGCATTACCAAGAGTCAGGGAAGGTGAAAGCTGTAGTCTAACAACATCTGGAGGGCCACAGCGTCCCCACCCCTTTCTTAAGGCTGCTAACTTGCTAGCATTAACCGAGGAGAACTCACAGTGTCTCCAGTCCAAGATTCCTGCCCCATTGTTACATAGAGGTAGAAGGTGCCCTCCACTATGAGTAAGTTTCATATATCATAAATAACTGATAATGACAATGAAAACATTAGTGACTTTGTAACTTCCATTCATACTGCCTGTGCAATCCTTGAGTGGGGAACTTGCACATCTCAGCACAGCTTTGATGTGCACACAGGAAATCTGAACAGAAGATTCCCAAGCCAATTACCATTTTGTAAATACAACAAAATGATAAAAATATGGAATGCAACAAAAAAGGTAGAGTAGGAAGCTTGATATAACTGTGGATTGATATTTTTATTATAAAAGTTTCAACATCCTGAGGTTAGATTCATCTTTTTTAAAAAACAACTCTATACATTTATAAAAAGTGGGCGGTATGCTTGTCTCAGTAACACAAGTTGAACTGGGAAGGCTCAGATATGGTGCACATTGCGGGGGGGGGGGGGAGATTGTTCGCATGAACTGTTCTAGTTTTTAATATTAAAACATGATTTAAAACTTCCCTAGTGCTTAATGTCATTTATTTAAAGGCATGACAACATTACTGATTTGTTTCTTGGAATACAATAGCAACATTTAATATAACTTACTTTTCCATATTTTCCATATGGAATATATTGTATGTCTTTTGTGAAGGGGAAAGGGAAGGTTCCTATCAGACAACATCTGAGAACACTAGAAAATATTTAGCAGCTCTTAATATTTGTTACTCTCATTATGTAGTTCAGCATATGGGTAAGTCTTACCTATTGATGATTGAATAACATTTGGGTAGCACCTGTATAAACTGATCAAGTGAAATTACTGTAAAAGGAATTCAGTTTTAATACTCTTTTAATATAGTTAGTGCCATTCAGCACCTGCAAATGGGAAGCTCCAATATGTGCCAGTCCAGCATATGAGGTTAGTTCTCATTAAAAGCAAAAAGTTTTAAAGTTGCATTTTAAGATAAGGCAGAATGCCTGTAGTGATCAAAATATAGCATGTGATCTTTAAGATGTAAGCTTCATTCTTCAAACTCTTCATTCTGAAGTTTAATTAAAATACACTGGAATATTTAAGAGCTGCTGAAGAATAAGCATTTTGGATCATTGCCTTAAAAGACACAAACCAGCTATTCTTTCTTTGAAAATTAAACAATGGATGCCTAAATCCATTCACCCTGATCCAGCAAGGTTTTCACACACAGGGCACCCTTTTTGGATCTGAATTCATGTGCACAAAACAATGCTATGGAAGATGGGAGAAATAATCCTGGGAATAGGTTAAAATGACAGCCCTGTCAAGATAAAACAGAAGTTTGCATTAACTTTGAACACATCTTTCTTTGTAGTCAGGATGGGGTGGCCATGCAGTTCTCTGATGGGAGTCAGAGCTGACCAATTTTGACACACTTCACATAAATCAGATGCTGACTGAATTTCGACAAAATGAAACCAATGCTTAAGCTACCTCAGCTATGTTTCTGTGCTACAGACCTTCCCTGAACACAGGTTTAACCCAGGCTTCCTCAACCTTGGCCCTCCAGATGTTTTGAGACTACAGTTCCCATTATCCCTGACCACTGGTCCTGCTAGCTAGGGAGCATGGGAGTTGTAGGCCAAAAACATCTGGAGGGCCGAGGTTGAGGAAGCCTGGGTTTAACCCAACACTGACTTAAACCACATGAAATAAATGGACTGATGAGGCACATAATTTTGGCCTTTGTATTTCAACGCTACGATGCAGGTCCGGTGCTCAGCCATGGAAAGATTCCTATGGCGCTCAAGTTACCCAAGTTTGACTAAACAGAAGGGAGGGCTGGATAGAAAATATACCCATCCCCTATTTTTCATAGGCCTTCCATGATGTCTACGTGTGTGCTCAGAGAGAAGGGGACACTATTAAGCCCAACTGGGAAGGACATTGTCCCCTGTTTACAAAAAAATTGGTAACGTGCTAAGAAGCAAATGGTGAAATGCAAATCCTCAGTTTAGATAATGATATTAATAATGATGATAATAATAATAATAATAATAATAATAATATGCACTTCAGAGATATATTTGGTCTAGGTCAAGATCTCTAAAATAGTAACACAGGGTTTTTAACTGAAAGAAAATATGCAGTCCCTAGTTAAAGGAGAACAAAACATGTGAGAATTTCTTACCAACATTGTTATTTATGCTGTCTTCCCAATACAATGATTTATTAATATTAAACATTAATATTTAAAAAACTGACTGTAACGTAGAAGCCTTCTCTTACACACTGGTGCACACTCTAACAGAGGGATTTGGTTAGAGCAAAGAGCCTTGCTACTCATTGATTATACTTTATGCCATCATGCTACAGCCCTCATAAAGGATAATAGTATCTTATACTCACAAATTATTTTATTTTTTTAAAAAACTGACCTCTATCATATACTTATTTTCAGTGTATTTTTTAACAAAGTATGTTTTCCTCCTGTTATACTGACTATTTCCTCCTGTTACTATATTTATCAGAAAATATTGGCATATCTATTTAATTCTAAATATGTGGAAAATTTTAGTTGGGGTGGAACAGGGAAACAGTTTTTAACACATGTTTAAAGTCCACATATATTTTTGTTTGTGAAAATGTTCAAAATAATTTGCATCCTACTTATACTTACAGAACTGGCTTCCCATCAGAGATCAAACCTATGAAATGCCCCATTACCTCCCAAAACACAGCTTCTAAAATTTTGAACTTGCATTCTGGATTGAGAAATTTAGAAGGAAAAGGTTACACAGTTAGCCAAGGGAGCAGGAGGAGAAGCAAAAGACAAAACAAAAACTAAAAACTATTCATCAATTGCAACAAAATTAAGGAGAATTTTATCCAAGGTAAGTTACTAAAACAATACTAACTTCATTCCTTTTCATTTTCTTTAAATGCTTATTGTTATAAAAATAGATTTAATAAATGTTTACACTGTGATTCCCCCCATCCTTTCTATTGAAAATATATATCTTGATAGAGTGATAAACCTGGAAATAAATTGCCCATAGTTTGTAACTAGATTGATGAATATGCAACATGCATCTTTTCAGCCATACGAATGAAAGGGTACAGAGAATTACATTTGAGAAAGGGCTTGTCCATACAGTTCTAATAAATGTTGAGGGACTGCAGATACTCATTTGGTAAACAAATAGTTGCTACTCCCTCACATATCTCTCTATATAGAGATATATGTCTTTAGACACATTTACTTGAAAGTAAGGCCCCTCCACTCTGTGCCTCAAGATGTGTCCCCAGATAAACACAAATCCACTTCTGCATTCAGATGGAAGTGCTTCTTGTGATGTTCAAAGACAGAACTTGCATAGGAAAAATATGCAGGCTATTGTTGCAGTCACACCTGTGCAAGTTCCCTTCAAATGTCAAGCAACGCCAGCTGAATACAGAAATGACTATGCAATTGGTAGGGGCACCAGTTCATAGATATTTGAGATTAAATTGTAAAAAAAAAAAAAAAAGGAGTGCATTTTAAGAGCATTTGTTGTATTCACAGGTATCTACTTAAAACAAACAAACAAAACCCAAATAATTATAGCAATGTTACTAAACAAAGGGATTTGTGCCTTTTGGCACCTCACAAACATCCAAACAGACTTTCCCACCAAGCAGTCATTTCATGGCCACTTTAAAATCAGCAGTGTGGAGACTGCTCCATCTATCCATGTGTAGCTGCTTGCTTTGTGGACCATGCTATGACAAACCATGAAGAGAATTGCTGTGACAAGGTGGGCCTGTGTGGTGAGCAGCTGCACACAAGTAGCTCACTGCGGTGAGAAACCCTTTATATCTGCTTTTAAAATGGCTTCTTGCTTGTGTAAACTAGTCCACAGTCCCAGGATTTCAAAAGATTGCTGGCAAACCCATTCAACTAGCATAAAGTTGAGCGCCAAAGGTTTGGCAGGCAAGTGAAAAAGCTAAACAGCAAAGGAAAGACTTGTTTCTAAACATGAGGCTGAACTTTTAAAAATTACAACTTGTATGGCTGCTTTTCCCTTAAAAGATAAAGAGCAACCCCCCTTACAAACATTAAAATAAGCATCCCCCCTCAAATCATTTTGAAATACATGAAGCGAAGCAAGTTACATCCAATCCTGCAACCAAAACCTGACACATTGAAGGGGAGGGCCTGCATGCATGAAGTCAACTTGAATATGGTGGAATAAATTCAAACTTAATTAGGTTGAAAATATTAGCATCCATTAAGTACATGACCAAAGCAGTGGTACAGTTAAAATAAAAAAATTCCATTGACTTCATTCCACACCTTTCAAAAACCTGTGTTTCTTTTTTTTTTTGAGAAGGACTTCTTAAAAAGTTAAAAAGTAGTCTGTCTTACAGCCAAACTACACTGAAATCCAGTTCTACGAAGATTAAAATAAAAATAACAATTGCATGGCGAGCCAAAAAGAACTGTTTACTGAAACTAGACAAAAGGACCAGCCTTTGAGGCTCATCTTCCTATCGACGTTAGCTTGACATACACAAGATGCCGTTTTCAGCATCTCTATCCTTTAGACTGTAAATTGTAAGCTTTTAATTATTGTGAAACTCTAGTAATCAATTTGTCTTAAATCTCCCTAGTTTAGGTGCTGCCCATATCCATTATTAAAGTGTAAATCAGAAATGCTCAGGTATAGTGTAGCTTCACATAACTGTATAAATGCATTGTGCTGTCCCTACAGGTGGCATATGTGTAATTGTGCATGGCTTTCAGAGCATGCAGATGTGCTCATTTCTGGTAGACAGCAGCATATATCCCATGCAGAATTTGTATGATGTAGCCAAGTAGATCTATGAAAGTTTTGTAGAGGTACAGATATTTTAGAGCATTTTCTTTCACGTTTATTGTATGGCTATTAAAGTTTATAACTGCAAGGACTAACTTACCTACGGTATCAGTTAAGATGGCTAAGTTAATGAGCACCACCTGATTAGTTACTTGAATTCATATTCATCAACCTGGTTTACCTTGCAAATAGACATTCCATGATTTCTTCTGCCTAGTTTGGGTCACATTCTTGCACAGCCTAGTACTTGGGCTTGATACTAATGGGTAATAGCATAATACTATTTGAAAATAATGCCATCACTTGAATGCTCTTCCACTCATACAGACTGGAAAACTTGACAAAGCAGGGAAAACTGAAAATATCCCAAGACAGAAAAAGTATTGGGAGTAAAATTACATTTTTTCATGTAATTATATTTGGGGAAAAATGGCCCTTTACATTTTTTTTAATAATAAAAAAAATGCCTGGCCTATCGAAGAATAAATATGCCACAATAAAACTGCTATAGTTAAGCATTTTCCTATGCAAATATAGCAAATACTTGGGGCTTTGCAGCATAAGTGTACATTTATAATTACAAAGCCTGCATAACTGCACTATGCAGGATAGCTGAGAACTATCATGTATTGCATGTTGCTTAAAACAACCTTTCTGGGATAGTTCAGTCGAGGCATATACAGACAATTTAAAAACTAGTAACAGCAAAAGTAGCAAATAATTAATCTTACTAGTTACTCTAGACTAGGGTAAAACAGACTCTGCTAAGTTGGTGCCCTCCAGTAGTTTTGGACTACAAGTCACATCAGCCACAGGGGCTAATGGGAGCTGTTATGATTTATATCGTAGTGGCCATTGTCTACAAACAATAAAAATCAGACTGACTGATGAGAGTTGTAGACAAAAACCTGGAGGACCTCAGGTTGGTAAAGCATGGGGTAAAGGTACCTAGTTTTCAAGCAAATTAAATTTAATTAATTAAACACATCACTTCACAAGCATGTGATGGCCTATCATCCTCGCAAATCATCCAATTCAACCTGGTCACACACACACACACACAAAGTATTCACTGTAAGTTGTCATTGTTCATCCTGACCAAGAATTCTTACAACTTCCATACCAGCCTACCAGCAATTGAACTATTACAAAGTAAATAATACAACACAAACCATACATCTGGGATTTCCCATTATCATAAAATAAATATTTATGTCAAACTCTTTTTTCTCGATTGCACATTGTATATTGGAAGCTAATGGTCACAAAACATGAAAAGAAATGTCAATTACTTTTTTTTAGGAAAAAAAAAACTATCATCAAACTCTAACACATCAAGAAGGTAGCCACTCCAAGCCTAGAAGGCTTTAACTTTCACAGAAGTCGATGAAAGTTTTCCAAATACTTTACTGTTATACAAAGTTATACATCCATGCTGAGCTATTCACCGTTGTGCAGCAACAGTCTTGCAGTGGGCCAGGATGTTATTGGCAGTTTATTGAGGGAGGAACTATGCAATGTGATTAAAAATTTCAAGTTGGAAGTATTAACATAAACATTATGTGTTTATAGTATGAATAGGAAGTTTCAGTTCTTGAAGCTGGGAAGAGCAGAAAGAAGGATTGAGAGTATCTTCCATTTTAGAAATGCTGAGGCACAAAACACAGTTGCTTCTAGAACTTTCATACATGAAATCCTTTCTCCTGTATGTGCATCATGTGTAATCGCAAAGTCTGTAAACTGCTCACTATTCGTCTCTGGTGTCCAATAAGTACAACACCAATTCTTCTAATTTCACTGTAAGAAAAAAGTATGTTTAGGAATCACTAAACATCGCAGCTGCAGTACAGAAAACAGAATTCAAATGGTTTCATATGCTTATTAGCCTTAGACTTTCTATATTACAATATGTCGTGTGATGCCTGAAATGATCAGCAGCAGAGGTGTATCTCCAACTGAAACTAAAAGAGCCAGGAATCCCACTGAACTAAGACCTGGCAAGTGATTTATTTGTGAACAAAGTCTGCAATTTCATGCCTTGTAAATTAAAATTGGACAGTGTTACGTTCTGAGTTGAATAAGATCCAAAAGGCAGCAGTCTGATTGGTCCTAGAACAATAGGATTCAGAATGCAGCAGTCTGATTGGTCCACAGGAGCCACCCAATCCAGCTCCAGGTGGAAGTGAATCCGCAACCTGATTGGCCTACAGGTGAATCCCAGAATTAGCCAATCACATGGGGCCCATTGTGTAAATAAAATATATAAAGCAGACATTCTGGGGGAACTTCCATTCCTCCTCACTACTATGAGCTGAATAAAGAGCATGAAATCCATTCTCGACTCCAAGTATATTTCAAGTGTGTAAAGAGATGTTTAGAATGAACATGTAATGAAGCCCTTGGCTTTTTATTTGTAGTGGGCAAAACTGCCCCAAATGGCTTCTATAGTTGCACTTTCTACTACTTTTGCTCTACTGGATGAGAAATAATAGCGCTGAGTTATACTTCCTGCTTCTGTCCACAAGGGCCTGAAGCCTTCTTTGAACAAGTGGGTTTTTTGTCTGTCTGTTTGTTTGAAGTTTCTTTTTTTGAAGGAGCAGGAGGGAATCAAACCCATTTCCACCCCCAGGAAGGCACTTCTTTACAGCAGTATAAATAGTTTACTTACTCAATGCTCATTCTTGAAACAAGATCCATAGTTGTATACCCTGCTGCCATGAAGTTATTTTTGTATTGGCCCATTTTTATTGAGTCCAGCCAATCACTGACTGATACAAAGAAAGGGTATTCGGGAACTTCACCAGGTGAATCTGGCATTCTACAGGAGCACAAACACAGGGGCAAGAATGAAATACTGTACTTCATTTAATTCATGATAAGGATTGCTAACAGCTTATGTGTAAATTACTCTAAAAAACGAATTAGATCAGCCAAGCAGTAAAGTTCAGATACTAATCTAAGAGCACGGTCCAATTCACAATTATCAACCATAATTTTAGAAACAAAGGTTGCTTTTTAGTTTCAGCTTCTTTCTTTCTTTTTCAAACAATACAACAGTAGAACAATATAAAATCTCTATCCATGTAATTAATTCAGAACTGTGGTCCACCCCCACAATTTGGAACCCTGTGAACACAACTATGTGCATATAATTCCAATATGACTCAACCTGCTCTCCCAGAAAATATTCAGATTGGCCTTTTGAACTTCCCAGATGTTCCAATCCATTTTTTCAGCTCTATATTTTTAGATAAAAAATATTTTTAATGCAGATTTAAATAATAGGTTTACGGGTGAAAACATTTCAAAGTGAAATGGACTGGAAGTAAATAAATACTTGTGGATATTATTTGCTCAGTATTTGCTAAAGTATTCGATTATTTGTATTGTGTGATCATTCATATATATATTAGGATATTCTTTGGGACTGAACAAATACAGATCAAAATGTGATATTTGCTGCATACATGTCTGCCAAATTATCTGCGTTAACCTAATGATATTCCTTGTGGCAATTTCCTCAATCACAGCAGCACTTTTTCCAGCTGTTGTGATTACAGAAATCACTTTCAAGTAGATGCAGCTGTATTCATGGAGATACTTCATTCCACATCACTGTTTCCAATGTGAATGTATCCCTGGAAAGAATTTAAACCCATCAGGTGGAAAAGAGGTTTAACACCTGATCTGGCTTTTATGCATGTGATCTAGGGCAAGATGAAGAAAGAAAAGTTAGGACGTCACACATGAATGGGGAAATTGATCGCTTTTATACTGAAAACTTTATTTTGACAAATTCTGTGAATAGCATGGTGCTGTCTAGGGACTGTAATACACACAGGAAGAGCACACTGATCTGCATCTTACACAAGTACATCCTCCACTAGGGTATGAAGAGAGCTGGGGTTGCGTATCAATTTGTCTAGGAAGCTGACAATGTCGGTGAACTTTGGCCGGTGGTTTCTCTCCTTTTGCCAGCAATGAAGCATTAGTTGGTGGAGAGAAGCTGGGCAGCCCATGGGAGCTGGAAGCCTGTAGCCTTCTTCTATGGATAGGATGACCTAAATAGAAGAAGAGGGATAGGGGACACAAGGCAAGTTCATATTACTTGACATTTCCATATGCAAGCTATGCCAATAAAACAGAGCCAGTAGCCAGTGTCCCACACTCTGGTGTGAATAGACATGGAAGCTAAATGGTCTGCAAAAGGTCCTAATGTCACAGTTTTTCCTATGCATAAGCTGAAGTAATTAATAAGCTATTTTAGATGAGATGACAGAAGCCCTCCTATAAGACGTTCTGAATGCTAATCATAATAATCATCTACTATCATTTTTTGAAAATTGGGTTCTGCACATTTGGACATCTCCAAAAATCGATGCTTCCTGATATGATGGAGCCTGTTTTCACCAGTGTCTGGATACCATTCGATGGCATTTAGAATCAAGATGGCAGACCAAAACCTTCCAAACTGCATGCCTCTTAAGATACTGCAACTGTCAAGCCGCTGGAGGAATGTTCTTCTGAGGAAGATCTGGCATTTCCACAAGAAAATGTTACAGAAGAATTCTAGTATTATGAGAGGAGAAAAAAAACACCCCTCTATCCATATCCCACATACTTTTGTAAACCTATACCATAGTAAAGTCCAGAGAAGCAGAATTTATAGTCAGAATTTGCAAGAACCTATATAAAAGGAGGTGGTCAAACCCCCTCAAGTGAATAGGCTTGTGACAGGAGAACTCACCCACACCTCCTTTATATTACACATTCACTGAATTTTACAGTGTCCCAAACCTAATCTCTCAGTTCAGTCTGTTCAGCAGCTTGCTAATTTCCACAGGAAGTTCAAAAGCCTAGCTAATGTTTATTAATCAACCAATAAGATATGAAAGATAATGCAACACCCACAATTAATGGACACCTCCAGTATCTGCCACACAGCCTAAGTATGCATTAATCAAGACTACCACAGCTTTGAGTGAATACAATAATAATATAGTTATCTACTTGAGCAAGTAACATTTCTTATACCAGAGTAATAAAGTGAATATTAAAAAAATCAATCACTGTATTAATATGTAAAATTTATGCTCTATATTTTCCAAGCCTCTGTGAATTAAATATAATCTAAAATCCAAGTTCAGACACCTAGGCTAGAATTACTTTGCTTTAAGATACTGAGATTCAACATTCAAGCTCAATTTATGTGCCTATGAATTCCAAGGATTTAAGATAACATCACACTCATTTTAGTTGCTTAATTATGGTGTTATATGCAGACTTCGTGGGTGGAATGTTTCATTGTATAGCTTTTGTCCTACACTGAAGACACTCCTCTTTACCCTAGCTTTTGCCACCTAGGATACACATATATTTTAGGACCTACCCTTTCTGACTGTAAATTGTTTTAACTGATTTCAGTATGTTGTGTTTTTCTATTGTTACATCCTGCCCTGGGACAGCTGTTGAGGGCCAGGTAAGAAATAAATAAAAAAATGCTACTACAACTACTATATTGGCGTGGGGAATCTCTTTCAGCCTGAGTGCCTCATTCCCTTGTAGGCAAGCTTCCACAGGCATCATGAAGTGGTGGGCATGGCCTGGGGTAAAAGTGAGTGTGGCAGAGGGGACTCTTATCTTTGCTCAGGATACTACATTCCAGCTATTCAACAGTCAGAGGTTTCTACAATCCCAACCCTCTTCATCTGGGCTAGGGTGTGGAAGAGCACATTCCAACCAGGCAAAAGCATTTGAGAAGAGCATAGATCTGGTCTAATGAGGGGTGTAACAGTCTGGGGAGAATTTTGAGGGCTGGATATAGAGGGCTACATTTGGCCCTGTTATGTCTCAGCCCTGCTTTATATCTACCATCTGTGCAGAATGAATAAAGGTGTTTTATTGATTTCTTTTAACATGAGGAAAAGTGGGTATGAGTCTGTACAAAGGAAATTGTGGGCCAAAAAGGAGACAGAACCAGTAAAGACAATGTAACCAAGTTAAGTTATAGAATTATGCCATATGTTTTCTTCTGGGTTCCTTTTCATTTCATAGAATCATAGGATTGTAGAGTTGGAAGGGACCCTGAGGGTCCAATACCCTGCTATCCAGGAATCTCAGCTAAAGCACCCATGACAGGTGGCTGCCCAACCTCTGCTTAAAAACCTCCCTTGAAGGGGAGTGCACCATCTTCTGAGGGAGTCCATTCCACTGTTGAACAGCTCTTTTTGTCAGGAATTTCTTCCTGATGTTTAGTTGGAATCTCCTTTCTTGTAACTTCTTGTTACTCTGGAGCAGGAGAAAACAAGCTTGCTCCATCTTCCATTCGACAGCCCTTTAGATATTTGAAGATGGCTATATCTCCTCTCAGTGGCACCCGCCCTGTGGAACACCCTCCCATCAGATGTCAAAGAAATAAACAACTATCTGACGTTTAGAAGACATCTGAAAGCAGCCCTGTTTAGGGAAATTTTTAATCTTTTGTTGGAAGCCACTCAGAGTGGCTGGGGAAACCCAGTCAGATGGGCGGGGTATAAATAAAGTTGTTGTTGTTGTTGTTATCATCATCATCAGTGTCCTCTTTTCCAGGCAAAACATACCCAACTCCCTCAAACATTCCTCATAAGGTTTGGTTTCCAGACCCTTGATTATTTCATCACAGAGATGAGCTAATTTTCCATTCTGCTAGGAGTGACAGTTCTGCAAATGCCTGCACAACAATGTAAAATGGCCACAATCCAACACAGAGTTGTGCGTGCTCAATAATCAATCAATAATAGCCCCACTGACAGTAATAGGGTTATTCCTAGTTAGACATACCAAAGGCTTTACTTAGAATGTATTCCATCTAATCAGGACCAGCCCAAGATATTTTGGCATCTTAGGTGAAACACAAAAAGACCCTCCCCCAGCTGAGATGGGGCGGGGAGTGAAAATCAGCATCAGAATGAAAGGAGAAAGTGAAGCTCAGCCTGGAAATCAAAGGGGAGAGTGAAGATCAGCCTTGGAATGGAAGGGAAAAGTAAAGATCAGCATCAGAATGAGAAAAGGTGGTGATGATGGAGGAAGGGGAAGCACAGGCAGCATCTGCCACTCCTCCCAGGGGGTCCACATCCGTCGCTAGAGGCAGCTGTCTCACCCTGCTACATGGGTGAGCTGGCCCTGAATTCAATATCAATGCGGTAAGCATTGCCACTTTCAAGAACATTTATATAAACTAATTTTGCCAGAAAATACTTACATCCTGGTTAGACATCTCCCAATATGGCCTCTCTCCATATGACATTACTTCCCACATGACAATCCCATAACTCCATGTGTCACTTGCGGAAGAGAACTTCCTGTAGGCTATTGCTTCAGGGGCTGTCCATCTTATGGGAATTTTTCCACCCTGGAAAACACATTGAAAAATTATCAAGATATAGTTCTGAGAACAGGCATTCTGTTCTTTAATGAATAATCTAATATCTATTTGGCCGTTGACAGAAATACCAGCTTTCCCCTGAAATCTCAGTTACTAATTTGAGACTGCTTGAATAGTATCACAATTAGAGCATTTTATGTTCTTTAACATTCATATAATTAATCAGACCACATCTTGTGGCATCTTTAATAACTTCTAAGCTATATCTGAAAGCTCATCAAATATAATGAGAATAACTGCAGAAACAAAGCACACAAAGCCAATTGAACAGGGTGGAAATTATTATTTCCTTTAACATTTATCATTATTAAGGTTTCATTTTTAATATATTCCAAAATCCCTTGGTAGGTTATAAACAAGCTGTGGTTCTGCACACATAAGCAGAAATCTCATTGAAATTGATGTGTGCAGTATAGGTTTATCCTGAAACGACTGGCATATTTTGCATCTTAAAATCATAGGGGGTGTGTGTGTATGTGTGTGTGTAAATATTCAAAACATGTATATACATACATATGTGTGTGTGCATGTACTACAAGATGGAAATTTGCTTAATTTAGAAAAAGAAGGAGTTATATTAATCTGCTGCATCAAAAACAGGGGGTCCTGTAGCATCTTCAGCTGCAATCTCAACACTACTTATTTGGAATTAAGAACCACATTAAATTAAGGTTATCAGACGTCCCCGCTTCCCAGGGACAGTCCCCAGATTTACAAATCAGTCCCCTGACAAAATCCTATCATTCCGACTCATTTCAATGAAGTGTCCCTGGATTCATTGAAAAAAATCTGGTAATGTTACATTAAATTCCATAGGACATACTTCTGATCAGACACGGTTAGTGCTTGCAGATTTATTGTGGAGTAAGACTGCTTAGAGGAGCGTACACACACCTGACAAAGTGGTCTCTAGTACATTAAAGCTTATGCCACCAACATGGCAGATTCCATGCCTAAGAGGGAGACATTAGAAGACTTTTGGAACCCCAAGGTTTTCAGAAGTACAAAAAATATTTTTTTAAAAGCCTAAAGGGGAGGTATCTGGTTGGCAACTGCGAGACCATGATGCTGAACTAGATGGGACATTGGACTAATTCAGAGAGCTCTCCCTAGTATTCTAATCCTTTGCCCCACTCTCTTATTGTTTTTCACTGACTAGTTAAAACTTTCCTGTTCCAGTGAGCATTTATCTTGCTAGGCAGATGATTTTTCTGCAGGAGACCCTCATTTTTAGAATGCTTTGATCTGCTGCGGTTTTTATGGCTTTTATGGAATTGTTTTATGTTTAATTCTTGTCAGCCATCCTGAGTGATGCAAGTGCATTGGAAGGATGGTGAATACGTTTTCTACATTTACATCAATGTCTGCTTCATGTGTTTTTCTGATTCTGTTTAAGGATGTGCTTAATTTCCAATTCAGAATTGCAGTAGCATTTCCAATCAAGGCAAGCAACCTACTTGATCATTCTGAAGAATGTCTGCCTAGATTATTCTCAATAAAGTACATACCAATGTTCCTGTATATTAGGAAAACAAACAGAAAAAGGAATGGCAAAACAGAATTAACAAAATTCATAAAGGTGCATCTATTCATGCTCAGCATCGTGACATAAGACAATCTTTTATGTTGCTGCTAATAGCAAAATGAAATTATATTGTTAATATTCATACAGACAATGAATTACTTGTGTAAGTCATTATATGCACAGGAATGGGAAACTTCATTACTTAATTACTTTTGTAAAGTATATTTTAATGTAAAAAAATCTTTTACACTTTTTGTATAGAAAAGTGAAAGGCTGAAACTAAATAAGATCTGTTCATGAATAATAGAAGGGCGCATTTGCTTCTGCACAGCTAAAATAATATTTCCAGCACTCGATCAAAGTAATAAAAAACTCTAGCCCTGCTGGGCATCTTCTTTCTGATAATACTCATATTAAAAATATTTATTAAACTCTATTGTATATAATGTGCTCCATCACCAAATTAAAATAAATATCCATTGTTATCAACATGTAATTTCTACAGCCGATCGATCAAAACTGTCACTATCCTCCTATGGTAAAACTTCATATGAGCAAGCATTTCCCCTCTTGCCTTCTGAAGCCATGCTGCATTTTACCTCATTTCTTAAATTTATAATGAACTTGGGGAAATGCTAATTTTGCTTTCCTGTTATAACACAGCAGTAATGGTACTATTCAAACGCTTCTGATGTAGTCTGTTTTCATCTGCTGCCTCCTGAATTATTCTTGATTGCAGCTCAGAGACAAGATGCCACTATGTGCTGCCACAAACTCCTTATCTAATGAGTAAGTGGAGTGCCAGATCACTCAAGCAGAGCAGCATATTGTTTCAGCAGGACCCATATGACTGAAATCAAAGTTTTCCTGGTTCTCATAGTCCAGCTCTCTATAAACCCAAATTGTAGCTCTCTAACCTGCAGCATTATCACATTTGAAATAGGAAGGCTGAGACCATGCTCCACATATCTGCAGCTACCCAGTGGCTAACAGCTATGGCCAGTAGGAGGTGGCAGGATGGGGTTACATCACTCACCAGGCATCTGATGCTCCTACAGCACACCAACCTCCCCGCTGCCTTACCCCTCCCCTTCTTGGTTACCAGTGGCGATCTCCATGTTGGTGAAGCCAGGTGATCAACGCCGCCCTACCAACTGCTACTAGGTTTTCTGCTACAACATCTACTAATATCACTGAACTGGGTTGGGTTGGGATCCATCTGTTTTGGGAGATACTGGACAATCAGTGAACATGCTCAGTGATTCTAATGGCCATTACATGTCAACAGACTATGCGAGCTGTCAGGACTGTAGCGCAAATGTAGCAAGCATGAAGCAAATGGCAATAGTATCAAAGGTAAGTGATTGATATATGATGGGGAGATGTAGAGCAGCAAGAATATAGGCTGCTCTCAGGTCTGCAATTCTGGGAACAGACGGAGAACCATTCTGTTGTGCCCTGTCTTGCATTTCATTTTCATTTTTTCCTCCATCTTTCTCAATATTATATTAAAATTTAAATATGTTGAGAAAGGTGGAGGAAAAAATGAAAATGAAATGCAATATTACCATATCAAGCCTTACAAGTTGTGGCTTCTGAGAGATGGTTAGCAGCACTGCCACATAGTCCACTGTTATTACTGTTAATTAAATTTATAAGCCGCCCTTCATCCAGAGATCTCAGGGCAGTTCCCAAGATAAAAATACAGGAAAAAAGCACTAGATAGTTAAAACTAAAAGGTCATAGAATATTAATCACCGAAAGGACTGGTTGATGTGGAACATTCTCACCTGGTGCCTAAAGATGTATAATGAAGGCACTAAATGAACCTTCCTGGGGAGAGCATTCCACAAATGGGGAGCCACGGCAGAAAAGACCCATTCTTGTGTTGCAGCTCTCCAGACCTTTTGTGGAGGAGGCACACAAAGAAAGGCCTCAGATGATGGTCGCAGAGTCCAGGTCGGTTTATATGGGGAGAGGTGGTCCTTGAGGTATTGTGGTCCTCAGCCATTTTTCAGAGTTGTCACACAAAGGGCATGCCAAGGATAAAAACGAAGTGTCTCAGGCCATTACTACAACTTTGGTCTACCTAAGAAAATCCTGAGCCAGTGAGAATCAGTAATAGGAATAGAACTGTAAACCACAGGCAGCCTAGCAGGATGTTCTTCCCTCAGTCAACAGATTGTGAATGGGACAGAGCAAAGCTAAGTATAGGAAGCAGGTGAAAACTATCCTTATTCTTGGTTTTTGCACCAGACGGTGCCAGATTCACCTTCAACATCCAGATCTACCTCTTTCCTGTTCCTTCTGCACACTCTACCAGATGCAGCCTGGAAAAATCAGCTTCAGTCCCCTAAAGGAGATTAACACTCATCCCAGATGCTTATAATTGCTAACTGCCTCTTAGAGTTAATTGTTTAGATCGGTGAACTGTCTAAGACGATGGAATGACAGACTATACCAAAGCCTCAAAAGAGTTTCATGTCTCTATTTTGTATGGCACATCAACATAGCTAGAGACGTATATAAATTTATCTTACTTCTAGTTCACTGAGCCACAAACATTGATGCTTTCTATATAAAGGTAAAGGTAAAGGTACCCCTGCCCGTACGGGCCAGTCTTGACAGACTCTAGGGTTGTGCGCCCATCTTACTCAAGAGGCCGGGGGCCAGCGCTGTCCGGAGACACTTCCGGGTAACGTGGCCAGCGTGACATCGCTGCTCTGGCAAGCCAGAGCCGCACACGGAACGCCGTTTACCTTCCCGCTAGTAAGCGGTCCCTATTTATCTACTTGCACCCGGGGGTGCTTTTGAACTGCTAGGTTGGCAGGCGCTGGGACCGAACAACGGGAGCGCACCCCGCCACGGGGATTCGAACCACCGACCTTTCGATCGGCAAGCCCTAGGCGCTGAGGCTTTTACCCACAGCGCCACCCGCTTTCTATATACAAAGGGGCAAATACTGTAGTTCACTCAAAAATATCACTGGCAAATTGTTTAATCATAGAGTGACCATATCATGAAAAAAAAAGTCCAGTAGCACCTTAGAGACCCAACTAAGCTTATACAGTCATACCTCGGGATGAATACGCTTCAGCTTAAATATTTTCGGGTTGCGCTCTGTGGTGACTCGGAAGTAATGGAGCGTTTTACTTCCAGGTTTCACCGCTCACGCATGCACAGACGCTCAAAATGATGTTACGTGCATGTGCAGAAGCAGCGAAACGTGACCCACGCACATGCAGATGCGCAGTCACATCTTACGTTCACTTCAGGATGCGAACGGGGCTCCGGAACGGATCCCGTTCACACCCAGAGGTACCACTGTACCCAGAACAAGCTTAGTTGGTCTCTAAGGTGCTAAGGGACTATTTATTTATTTATTTATTTAGACTGCGTCAGACCAACATGGCTACCTACTCATATCATGAAAACTTTGGCA